CTTCGAGAATATGACGTATTACTAGCGTCACGTGACCTCCGCTGTCGTAACAATATATTCTGCGAACTTTTCTTTCACCTTTCGCAATCATGTTTATCGTCCTGAATAAAAATCTAAACAGTTAGACACTCCAAACAAATATTTATAAGAATACGGCACCCCACGGAAGAAAAAAAAATTGTTTAATGCTTCTGAATTGTAGTAGCAATCAACGTTAAACTTTAAAATGTGGATTCAAATACTGCCGTGAAATTGTGAGTACAACTGATGAATTTAAGTCAATGGAGTAGAACTAAGCCTAATAATCCAGTCGTTATATTCCACCGCTCTACGATTGATGCAGTGACGCCTAACGTCTCATCAGGTCTGAGTTACACTGTCCTATCAGAACTGAATGCATAGTTGATTTTGCGCACAGACCTGTCTTTCTTCCAAATGCTTATTTATAAAATGGAGGAATGCATTGTTTAAGCAATAAATTTTATCAAAACAAAAGCATTGTCAAACTCGTGGGTTCAATAAACGTTTATCTAAGCTCATTTAACCTACCGTGAAAAGTTTCCAAACACGACGATAGCTTTTCTTTCGTTTCTGAGGTGAAGTCACCTATAACTCATGGCGACACCTACTGTTTTTGGCTTTACGAATTTTTAGCTACGATGCGTTCAGGCTTTAATAAAGCAACTGTAGAGTGGTGGAAGATAATGAATGAATTATTAAACTTAAAGCAAAATTAAATAAATTATTTATCGTTTTCTTGAAAATTATTTGCATCCTTCAGTGAGCACTGAAAGTAAAAAAACAAAAGATGATAAATTAAAGACAGGCGTCGCAACACAGCCTCTTCTTCTTTTACGTAGTCTCTAAACGAGTTTATTTTAATTACAAATTCACCTGGCTTTAGTACAGTATGGTATACACTTATATTCAAGTAATCACGCAGACTTGGTGTCATATTTTACTTACGTGCATACTGGCACCTGGTCCCGAGTAACCCATAAAAATCCAGTCAATAGCACTTGATTCCGAATCGTCAGGGAGAAAATGGGGTCGAGAGTAATGGTGACGTAAAACTTCTGCGACATCGGGATTGCAGTTACTCCTGTTTGGATAAATATATCTATATATATACATATAAATATGTTTTACGAAAAAATATTAAACTTGTGTCTCAAAATGACATTCTTATGAAACAACATAACTTTTACATCACTTTATAAGATTTCCAGACACGAATCAACATCCGTACAACAAATATCATGTGTGTGTCAACGATGAAAAACGTAAGCAGCAGCACGTGAACTAACTAACGTTTCATACCAACATCCATTCTGATTGGCAGGATATATATTTTGTGACGTTCTCGTTACACATCGGCCTAATGTTCGGTGTTACGATTATCATAAAATAACTATTTGGCTTTAATGGATAAGTGGTAAGTCTGAAAGCTTATAATGATAAAAAACGGATTTCGATACCTGACCCTCCTTGGTCCAAAACATGGACCGAATCCCGATGAAGAAGAGGGATTTCAATCCCCCTGGTAAAATCAGCACATATGACACATTGTGTAACTTTGTTTTTAACAACTAACAAAACAAAATTATTTACGATAAAATATATTAAACACTAATAAATTTAATTATAAAAATATTAAAAGGCACGCACTTTTATAGAAATGTAAAACAAAATGTTCCCAGAAAAAAATTATTATTGTGGAAAAAACAAAAATAAAAAGGAAACATTCATACAGTTGGCTTCAAAATTATTAGCGAAGAAACCTCGCTAATCTTGTATAAATCATTTGCTACTTGAATGATGTCGCTAGTATCATAGAAAAAAAAAACATCAACGTAATTTGCTGAGTGAAGAATACTAAAAAACAAAATGCAACTATAGTCAAGCCTAATTTTAAACACTTTGGTTAGGCCTAAAAAGTCCCAACTCTAAACTATTACCAGGAAATTAAGTTTTGTTTGTTGAATTTTGAACAAAGCTGTCAGACCAAATAATGGGATTTAACTGTCGAGTTTATAACGCATCCACGTCGAGTTGTTGTTTGGCGGTAGGAGGCGAGAACAACGGAACCTCAGATCCACACGCTAACCAATGGGCCACGCAAGACTCCAGAAAGTTAGGCTTGTAATAATAAAAATCTATGATAAAAACATTCGACAAAGTTTCTAAAGTATAATTTATAATTCGCGAATCTCGAAATAATAAAGACCTTTACTCATCATATTTATAAGAAATATTATCCATAATCAACCGTATCTGAATTCGTTTAGTTTGTTTGTTTGTTTATAATTGAACACAAAGCTACACGATGGGCTGTCTGTGCTCTGACCACCACATGTATCGGAACCCGGATTCTAGCGTTGTAAGTCCACAGACATACCGCTGTGCCACTGGGGGGGGGGGGGGCATTCATTTAGTATAAATAATTTTTTACTTACCAAACTTTACAACACATTCACAAATTAACACACTAAATCCAACAAAAAAGAAAGTTATGCGCAGTTTCTGAATTACAACTGTGCAACAAACATCCGGGTATTTCCAATTTATCGAATTTATGAATTATATAAATTAAAAATAGAAAATCTGTATTTAAGCAACACGTATATTTTTAAAGGTTAATTTGGTCTCGTGCTCTTCCCAATATAAACCTAGCTATAATGAACGAGTTTATTGGCTGAATTCACCTTCAACGTGAGTCGAGGGGTCAAAATCCGACCATGAAAAATCTTTAGACGTTTTACGGCTTAATGACCTAATGCCACAACTAATTAGTGCAACGTGCCTTCATAAGATAGTCAGTGGAAAAAGCGATGAACTCTTAAAGGTACTTATTTTTCAAGGTTTCGTGAGCCTAATCTGTTTATCTCTAGGCTTCGCAGCGTCATGTGGCAGCCGAAGCGTGTGGCCTTGCATTCAAAATGCCTAAAAAACGAAGCTAAATAGAGATCTGAGATTCGCAATGACGAAGAAGAGCTGAAAGCTGAAACTTATCTATTAATTTATACTTGAAACCAGGTGTTTTATCATCACTTTTTTATCCACCAGATGGCACGATTGAAACTGTTAAAAGCACCTTTCAATAGCAAACATGTTTAAAGCAGAGGGCTGGATTTAGGTATTTTGTTGTCGTAGTAAAGATTTCAAAATTCTGTCTCCAGGCGGAAACCTTCACCGTTATTAAAGGCAAACATATCGACGAGTTCTGGTATAGAACGAAGAGCCCCTTGGGTAGTGTCTTGTAGGAGGCAGAAGATATATCTGAAATACTACTTTTACCGCGTTATTTTGAATCTAAAAAAGTCAAAAGTTGAGGGGGAGTCGTCTACAGTTTACATGTTATTTCACAGATTTAAAGCCTAGAAATATAGCATTGTTTGAAAGAAAATGTTGCAATTTCTAGTAAACATTTACTTTACCAGTGTGTGTCTTACTATGAAATATTTAGGAGAGCTTGACTTTTTTTTCTAGCTGCAAAGGTGTTAAATACTTCTTTAAGATCTATTTTCTTGACTTAAGTAGAAATCTGTTTTATATTTATTTATCTTATAGTTTTATGTTTATGAAAAGCGATCACGAGACACAGTCGATTCTATAAAAAATAAAATTAGAAAAATATATTGTTGCGTCATCGAGATCATGTGACTATTCTCACGCCCTATAGTTCTAGACTATCTTGTTCTTCGTGAATGCCCTAGCATTTACTAGATA